AAGACAAAAATGGAATGTTTTCAAGCACAACTACCAAATTATCAAGAAAACATTTGTGTGTATGAATAAATAGACGATACCATCCAAATGCCGTGTAAGGGAGTAAAAAAATACTTCTCTCTAGACTACATGCAACAGTACCCATGCATTCAGAAAGAAAGTATAATCTGCTTAGGAATTAAATAGTTGAATATAGTCCGGAATGACTTTCTGATTTGTCTGGGTATATACTGGAGACCCAAAATAAAACAGCTACAGAGCAGAAAATAGTGCTGATTTTAAACAATATTTAAAATCTTTTATTTACTAGCTAGGATAGTTATATTTTCTTAAGGAAAAACTCCAAACTTGTGAAATAAAATAAATCAAACTTATATGAAAGGTATTCTAAAATAAAGCTATTGTAAAACTAAAAAAAAATTTTTATACATAATAACATACTTTAAAGTCATGGAAATTTTACACATGCAAATGTGATTATAAAACACAAATTATAATGAAATGTTTAGTTAGCAAAATACTGATTAAAAAACACCTTTATATTGAGGGGGAAAAAACCCTAATTTAAAGTAAAGCCTCTGTTCTAGTCAAAGAAATTTTATTGACTAAATGTGAATTTTCTAAGCAATTGGTTTGCAGGCACCACCTGTATAAAAAGGGGTATGATTACTCTCAAAGCCTCCTGCCTACTGCCATGAGTGGCAGCTGCTGTTACTAGAGTCCAGATTTCCCAATTTTTCCCTTGTATCTCTCTGTCTCTTCATGGAATCAGAACCTAACTTAAATAATTCTTCTTCAACACTCAGCATGAAGGCACGGGGGAAAGGTAGAACCAAGAAAGCTAAGTTTGAGAATTACTATACATCTGAACATTTATACATGTAGAATAGAAAGGAAATGACTGTATTCAAGATCTGGGCCATGGGTCCCCACTTTCTTTGTGAGCAGCGACTACTTTCTATTTGCACTAAGCTCTTCTTGAGCAATGATTACGTTGTGATCGTTGGTTGTTGCTGAAAGCTGCCAAATATGACTCTCTCTCTTCCTTTAGCTCCGTAATCTTTTGAGAAGAAAAGGAGCTGTGAGGATGTCTTTCAGATACAGCTAGGTCTGGCTTCATGATCAAGGGATAGGGGATGCCTAGTCTTGGCTATGTTAGAAGGCACTTTCCCAAATCTGAAAAGTACCAGAATGCTCAAGAGGTACAATTTTAAGCAACTGCCTAAGCAATATACTTAGCTAAGCCAGGCAGATAAATGTTTGTGAACAATAACGTCCAGACAACTAGGGCATCAAAGGTTCACAGATCAAGTGCAAAAGAGCTCAGAGCCACCTGGTGCAACACTCTCATTTTGCAGATGAAGACGCTGAAGCCCTAGGAGATGAACTGGCTTGTTCAAGATGACCCAGGGAGCTGGTATCAGCTGCAGATTTGAACCAAAGTCTCTGACTCCACAGCCAGTGTTCTTGTGGAATGGGCACTTTGTGTTTCTCAGTTAACACCACGAGCCACAGGTTCCAATGGGAATGAAAAGCTTAAGCTTATAGTTTGTGAGTAATTGTGCACCTGACAGCAACATCAGTTGCAGATGCAGTTTTGATTCTTCATTTCAGCTCGTGGTTTTATGTGTCATGTTGGACAAATTTTTGGTGAAATCTGTGGAATGAAAAAGTCTTGTAGAACAACCTGATCTGATCTATAAATTTAGGGGTAAAGGTGAGAACTCAAAGCTAGAGTAATAATTTGTATGTGGAACTTGTTTCATTTTGGTTTGTAACGAATAAAAATATATTGTGACTAAGCTAAAACTACAAACTAGATGAAATGAGTGCTAAAAGGAGAGTGAAAATGACAAAACCCTGAGGTCACTGGATCACACATTCAAAGTTAGAAGCAATCACAGAGGTCATCTAGTCTGACCCCTTCATTTTACACATGAGGAATCAGAAGAAGTTAAGGAAAATATCCAGGGTCCCCTAAGTAGTAAACTGCAGAGTGGGATAGGAGCTCAGGCTCGCTAGCTCCTAATTAAGCACTTTTCCCGCTGTACAGAATGAGCTCAAACTCAATAATTTCCTTCCTCACTTCCTCTCTCCCTCCCTCCACACTGAGCTAAGGGAGAAGTAAGGACAAACAGTAATATTCATTACATTCATTACTTACATTAACAGAAATAGTGATTACTATTCCCCACCTCTTCAATGATTTTGTATTTAACTCATCAGTTTACCTGATACATCCCCTCATAGAATGTAACCTTCCTTAACGGAAGGTCCCATTGCTTATTTTTATCTTTGTATCTATATATCTAGTATAGTGTCTCTTACATAGTAAGTACTTATTAAATGTTCACTGAATTGAAACCTCATTGGAATTGAGGTTAAGTGACTCACAGTTACACAGCATTAATTGCACCGAATTGCATAGATCTTAGTGCTTAAGAAGATGACAATCTAGTTGAGGAGGTCACATGTAAGCACTTTGTAGCTTTAATGTAATACAAACGGCTGCTGTTGTTATGTACAGAGATAAATTTAATAGAAAGGCAATTAGATAAAAGAGAAAGAAAACTTCCAAATTTCAAAGAAAACTTTCTTGAAGTGAAAGCATTTAAACTAGATACTTAAGGTGGGATGTCAGTTTGAAGAGATCCGGGTACATTACTCAAGGTGTGCAAAACAACATGAGCAAAGGAGGCAGGAAAGTGTCTGACATTTCAGAAGGGATGGCAAGTGGTTTAATTGACCAGAGTATATGAAATGCGATATGTGTAGCATGGGATAAGACAGGTGAAATAGGCTAAAGGCAAATTATGCAAGATCCTGTAATGTAAGGAATGAATGTAAGGAATCTAAAAGTTAATCAATAATCAAAAAAAAATCCATTGAAAATTTCTGAACAATGGAATGATGTGATAAAATCTATCCATTGAAAAGATTAATCTAGAAGCAATGTATTAGATAGACTAGAAGAGGGAGAAACTGTAGATTTGGGAGATCTGTACCACTGTTGAAGTCCAAATGAGAGATAAATAGAGCCTGAACTAGGCGCCTAGTAGAGGGAGTGGTAAGACAGGGACAAACAAGAAAAATCTCTCCATTGGTAAAACTAAGATAAGATGATATACACAAAGATTACAATAATGTGATAAAAAAAAAACCAAGAAAAATAAAACAGAAGACAGTATGATGATAATGATCACTGTTGGCCCTAGAAAAGGATGAATGTGGAAGGGCATGGAATGCTGCATATTTTATCAGATTCAGTTTGATGTTTTGGTTGGTTTTGTTAAAAATTATTTTTAAAGAATATTTACAAGGGAAGGATACCTAGGCAGGGAGAAAAGAGTACAATATTTGGAAATTAATATAATATAAAACAAAAAGAAGCAAGGTAACTTTAAAAAGTAACCCATAGATTATCTACTATTTCTGTAACTATCTTTTAACTCCCTTGATATGACTTCCAACTCAAATACTCTAAACACCAGCCTACTGAAAAAGCCACCCTCAACAACAAACCATCTACCACAATGAAATAAAATTCACCAAGAATAGAAGAGGAATGAGAGTGGGGTGAAGTTTTATGACTTGTCATTTTCCCCTTATCAGGGTAAAAAAACCTTATTTTCCTTGTTTATTTACTATAAAAAGACCACCTCATTAACCACTACTAGAGAAAGTAATAAATACTACTAACAATAAACAAAATCATATTTCATTACATCAACACAACTAAGAAGTTTTTTTTTTAATTAAAACAATAGTGCTATCTTTCGTAGTTTTTTTAAAGACAACTTGCTCATTGGAAGTACGTTCACAAAAGAAGAATCCAGTTAAGGTAATATTACACTCAATCTTCATGTGTTGCTAGTTCTGAGTTACTACTGTTTCAAGAAGAGCAGCAGCATAGCATAGTGGGTAGAAATCTGGCCTGACAGAAAATAATCTGGGTTCAATCTTGTTTCTGACATATCCAGGCTGTTTGATTTTTGACATGTCAGGATAATTGCTGATCTTCATTGGTAGAGGGAGGCTGTTTACTGGGGAGACCTTTACACTGATGAATTTACATATGTGAACCAAGGAAAATGTATAAAGAATGCAATAATCTCTTTGATAACTCAGTTACAACTTAAAAAATTATGAAGAAATTTACCTGTGATTTTTTTTACCTGTAAAATTAGTCCATATTACTAAATAAAGAATATTACATCTAAAAAAAATATAATGCCTTTACTTGTACTGTTGTCCTTGAGGTTGGAGACTATTTTTGTATTTGTATACTTGGTAGCTAGCAAAATGCCTTTAATGTAGTAAGCACTTTAAATATATGTTTGTTGAATGCATTTTCTTCACCACTGATAGACATCTTGTTTTTTAAAGATTGTTTTTAAGATGCCATCTGATTTAAGAAAACAGAATTATAGCATATGATTGGAAAAATAAATTTTCTCTTTTAGTTAGTTTTCAAATTGAGTGTCTAGAATTCTACGTCTATAAGAAGGAATTCTATAGGAATGACAAATTAGGAGTTTCAAAGCAATGAACAGTTAGCTCTCTGGTTGGGGAAATGGCAAAAGTGGCCTGTATAAATGAGGTGAACTGGGGACTTTCCTTACTCTTGTTCCTTCCCAACCTTCAATTTTCTGTTGTGATGCTAAGGGAAAAAATGGAGATATAAAAATCCAAATAGATGGAAAGGTTATTTTCAGCTAACAGGTATAATAGAGAGAACAAAATATATGAAATCCTAGGAAAGGAAATAAAAGACAAAAAGGTTTCAGAAACACCTTGCAACCTACTTTCAAACTGCTTCAAACTTTTCAAATTAAAAATGTTCCCCTCTCAAGTCTTCTGTTATATTTAGTTTATATTTACTATGAGAGTATGAACACTATAGTACAGATGCTGAAATGATTCATCATGAAACAAGAAAATTATTATTATCAAGAACATTATCTGAATAATAATGTCATTGAGCAGTACTGGTTTCTTACCTTTAAAAGTTCAAAGTAATGTAGACAGTGGTACACAGGAGCTAGAAGTAGCCTGGGTAAAACATACTGAACAGCTTCTTTGAAACCTTCACCTATTGACTAGAAAAGAAAGTGATTTATATAGTTATAGTTTTTGTTTGTTTGCTGGTATAACAATGGACAATTTCACATAAAAATCACTATACCTGCAAATAGAGGGCTGCCCCAGGCTTGGATAACTGACTAAGAAAGTGGTCATGAAAACCAGGTCGCAATATGTCTTGAGCATACGACTCATATGGATCAAATGCCAATTCCTTTGAAAATAAAAAGCATACAAAATAAAAACTTTATAATAAAAAATCAATACAATTGAAATTTCTTATTGGAAAAAAAAAAGTAGCTGGAGAGCTATTGCTCGAGAGCCAGTATTCCTGTGTATGCATAAGCGTTTCAGGTTTAAAGACAAATAATCTCCGAGGTGGTCAGGAATATCATGTTCTCTTTAAAAATTAAATCATATCTAGATAACTACTATTTTATGGTATTTTTTTAAACAAAATTATTGCACAGATCTTAATAAATTGTTACATACTGAGTCTTGCATTTCCACATAAAGAAGGAATGTGCCAATTCTTGCAAATAGGGTAAAAAATTTGTGTATTTGAAAGCACCTGCCTACCACAGGATCTAAATATAATTGTAGGTAAATAAACAGTTGAACTAACAATAAGCTTTTCAAAAATTGGAGTTGTATAAGGAAATACCTTTCTTGCTATGTAACACTATGTGCTATAAAACTTACAAGAGTTATATATGAAAATATTTCTTGATTTAACTCTAGTGGGGCTACATCTTTTAAAACTCACTGTCCATCTTAGAAGAAAAAGTAGTTTCTTTTTATATGCAAACGTTTGGTATAAAGCAAATATTTTCTCAGGCTTGTTCCTTGGTAGCAAGATTACACTTTTCTATCCTGTAAATGGAAGGCAAATTTATAACACTGAAGATCAAATGATCTAGTGTTCAGAAAATACACTTAGGGGTCCATGTAGTACAGTGGAAAAAAAAAATGATGGCTCTGAAGTCAGAGAAGCTGACATCAAATCCTGTCCCTGTCACTTAATATTGTATGACCTTGGGCAAGTCACTGGACTTTCTGTTCTGGGCTTCTGTTCCCTAGTGAGTAAAAGAAGGAGATGGAGAAGATAGCCTCAAGGTTCTCTTTTACTCTACATCTAGGATGTCATGGCATTACTTTGAACAACATAATCAAAAACTTTCTCAGAAAGACAAGGGCACTGTTTTTTTTTTCTAACCATAAAATGTCCTAAATCCAATATAAACCAACACAGCTGAGAGTAGCAGTCAATAGCTTAAACAATGTAATAGATATACTATTGATATGTATTTAAAATCCAATCTTGAAGAATTTTTACGTAGCCAACTTTTATTTAATTTCCTTTATTATCTTCTGTTTCCTCTCCTTTTTCTTAAGAACATAGAACTGGGCTAAAATGGATGACCAGATGAGGCAATATGACTTAGTCAAAAGAACTTCTGTTGTTCAGTTGTTTCAGATGCATCCTACTCTTTGTGACCCCATTTAGTTTTCTTGGCAAAGATACTGGAGGATTTTATCATGTTCATTCTACAGATGAGGAAACTGAGGTAAAAAAAGGTTAAGTAACTCACAGTTACACAGCTAGTAAGTGTCTGAGCCGGATTTGAACTCAAGATCTTTATGACTTCAGGCCTGATGCTCTATCCACTGTGTCACCTAGCTGCCCCAGAAAAGAATACCGTACTTGGAACTTGAAGATTCTATACAACCAAGGAAGAAAAATTTGGCATGGGAAAGCTGCGAGGGGAAAGTCCTCCCACCATGCCAGAGATGTCTAACAGAAGCAAAAGTAAAATTAAACACTAAAATATATTTAGGGGGTTACTTTAGGAGTTCATTCTGAGACTTCCATTTGGGACTTTGCCACTTAGTGACTGTGACCTGCAGCAGTTTCTTCCCTAGGGGTGACAGGATTTAAACTTGGAAGGACATTAGAGATCATATATTCAAATTCTCTTATCTTAGAGATGAAGAAACTGCATTCCAGTTTGGTTAAGTATATCACTCAGTGATACAGAATGTAGTAGCAGAGCTGAGATCCGGACCCCAGCCTTCTCACAACATGTTCAGTGCTCTTTCTACTACAATCTTCTCTGGGACTCAGTTTCCTCATCTACAAAATGAGGGAGTTAGAGTAGGTAATTTCTAAGGTCTCTTCCAACTCTAAAATCCCACTATCTGATGACCTAATAACATTTGGAAAAGGGCCTAATAACTAGCTATTCAGCATCCTAGGTCTATTTCAAAGAACTGGAACATTCTATCCGCAGCTTACCAAAAGTTGGAGATTCCTAAGCCACTATGAGATATCCAATATATTTGAACATGTATACCAAGCAGTAACCCAGAGATTCTACAAAATAACATCTCAAGCACACTTGAGAGCCAATATTACCATGCTTGTATACGTGTTTGAGGTTTAAAGACAAACGATCTCTGAGGTAGGCTTGATTATCATTTGGTTGTGGTTGGTCAGTAATGAGGTTGAAATGTATAGTATCCAAAAGAAATTCAACAATCACAATAAAAAGAATTAACCTTTACATAGCATTGTAAGGTTTAGAAAACCCTTTATATATTTTATTTTATCTGAGCATCACAACAATCCTTTGAAGTAGCTGTTATGGGAACTATTGTTGCCATTTTGTAGATGGGGAAACTGAGGCTCTGAAAGGCAAAATGAGTTGGCAACAGGCATACAGCTAGTGAGTGTTAGAGGCTGAACCTGGACACAGTCAGGAGGGTTCCTGACTATAAGGGTGGTATTTTACTCACTACCCCACACTACTATAGTCTTGGGTATAGTTGCTCAAACATTTCTAAAATTTCATGTTTTCCAAGATTTTTTTTTATGATGCAGGGCAACAGAATCAATTCATATTTAGCATTACTTGAACATCAAGTTTAAGCTATGTAATGCTTTCATCTGAAGTAATTCAAAGGCAAAAAGCATTTTAGAAAACCAAATTCTGTTCATTTTTTTGCAATCAGATAAATGTTGCAGAAAAATTGATTTATAAAAAAGACTTCTCAAGTTATATTTACAAATAGTAATTTCAGAAAGCTAAGTAAAATCACCTTTGTTTTAATTGTTATCATCCCACTACCATAGAGGCAAGACCAAACAAAACAGCTTGCCTCAGAGATATTTTCCCATACAAGGGTCCTCTCCTGACAAGGTTAGAACAATGGTAAGGCTGTTTTGTTAAATCTGATTCCCAATACCTTTTCTGTTACTATCTGCTTTAGGAGTCACATTTGAATCCATTATCTCTTATTAGGCATGTTCTAGAAGTAACATTTGGCATTTAGGTTTAAAGTAGATTAAGCCTTAGATCTAAATCATCCTTTTGCCATCATGCATGTGCTATGTGATTGGTCAGGCTGGAGGAGCTAAATGCACTTCTGATTTTAGGACTAGTGAGAAAGGAAAAAATGGCAATTAAAGGAAATCACTAGACTTAAGAATGCCTTGATTATAGAGACTAGAACTTCCGAACTGAGCCATAATACATCTTTAGGAGCTTTACGAAAAGTGGGGCAACTGTACAAAATTTGCTCTTGATCTTAAGGTAGGAGTAGCACATGTATCTCTAGAAAAGCAAATTCTGGGAAGCAGAAAGGATAGTTAGTGGGGAAGCAGGAAAGGAAGATAGCATCAAGAAGTAGGAGATTAAGTGCTAAACAGAAAGCATAAAACCCATGAGGTAAAGTTTATGAACTATTCTCCGAGTGGTTTTGTTCACAGGCAAAGAAAAGACTTTTTAGAAAGCATTCGTATCTTTGTTGACTGAAGATGTAAAGATTGGCCTAGAGGCTAGAAAAAAGACCAGGTCAAACTTAGAAGAGCAGGAAAAGTTGATAAAGACCACCTATTACTTTATCTGTGTAATCTTTTAGCCTATCTACCCTAGTCATGGCCTGACTCTGCCTGCCTCAAACTCAGGCACTTAAGGCTTGTTATTGCCTTAACAGCAATTGTTTCTGTGGTTTTAACAATAAGCCGAGAAGTGCTAAGTACCAAGGTATAAATACTGGCAAAAAGGATATGTTTCATAAAAAAGAATTCAAAGTTAAGTACAACTTTCTGACATTACATGCAACTCATATGATAATTATGTTTGGTCAGCCTTGCTATTAAGTTTAAATCTGAATGATAATTCTCTTTATGATTCTTAAGTACACATAATTCTAATATCAAGAGCAATAGTACTTACTATTAAGTGGGATTTTAACATTTGAAGGGGATAGTCACATAATGACAGCAGCTAAAGCTGAGTTATAATAGAATAGTGTGTTTTAAGCCAGAAATTTTTATTCATATTGCAGATTTTTATTCATCAATGACTAATATTAAGTAGTGGTTTAAAATGTCACACAAAAGAATAAACTAGAACTTCTGCACACCCATGTGTTACATTAGTTATTAACCAGAGAATTTTTTTAATCAAAATTTCCCCTAAACTCAGACCTCTAGTTTTAGAATGTGAGCAGTAAAGAAAGTAAAGTGTTGGAACTGAGAGGAGAAAGAGAAGAACAAACAGGCAAATAAAGGATAAGCCCACTATTTCTTAGTACCTGACACTTTTTCTGGATCTTTCAAAGAAGACAGAGCCACCAGTCTTTCCCCTAGGTGGCCTGAGTCCCTCAGGACCTGATATTCAATTTTCTAACTCATTACCCTCAGTCCCCTAGAGAGCTAATTCATTAGAGTGGCCTCTCACAATGACCAGCACAGAATACGTGCTTAATAAATGCCTGTTGATGGATTCATTGCAAGATTATAGCACAGTAGGGGCAGCTAGGTGGAGAAGTGGATAGAACACCGGCCCTGAAGTCAGAAGGACCTGGGTTCAAATCTGACCTCAGACCAAACACTTCACACGTACTAGCTGTGTGACCCTGGGCACGTCACTTAACCCCAACTGCCTAAAAAAAAAGTTACAGCACAGTAAAGGTACCTCAGCTCTGTTTCCCTTGACCTTGTTGTATGGGAACAGTTTTAGAAGACATCAGCTTGCCAATATCTTTCACTGGCAGGATCAAGCTTTCTCTTATTACTTGTATGGTTGGAAAGAAATAGTTTTTTAAGGCTTAGAAGTATAATAGGATTTTTAGTGCCAAAGAACATGAAACCAACCATGAAACCTGTGAGCAGAGAATAATTAAAAAAAATTGTGGTACATAAATATAATGGAATATTATGTTATATAACAACATATTGACAAAATGTGACTACAAAGGCTATGTAGGGAGGCATGGGAAGACTTGGCATGAACTGATGCAGAGACGAGTAAACAGAAAACAAAGTTTACAATGACTATAATAATGTGAAATGGAAAGAACAATAACCCCCCAAACTGAAACTGAATGCTATGTATTTATTATGATCAAACTTTGCCTTTAAGAAGAGATATAAGAATGTATCTTCCTTTCTTTGCAAATGTGGGGAACTATGTACCTAAAGCACTACATACACTGTCAGACTTGATTGTTGATTAGTTTTGCTGAAATACTATTTTATTTTCTCTTTTTCATTCTTTGTTATAAAGGATAGATAACGGGTCAGCGAGGTGGCACAGTGGATAGAGCACCAGCCGTGGAGTCAAGAGGACCTGAGTTCATATCTGACCTCAGACACATAACACTCTGTGTGGCTCTGAGCAAGTCACTTAACCCCAATCACCTCACAAATAAAAAAATAAATAAATAAATAAATAAACAAATACATGAAAGATAGATAACTCTGTGGGTAGAGGAGGGAAATGAAATATAATTGGAAATGAAGGTCATGTACAAACAAAATATCTCAAACTTTAAAACATATATATCACTTATATATAACATGAAATATATGTTAAGGTAAGAGAGTGGCTGGTATATGTGTTTGTGTGTGTGTCAGGACAGGATAGCTGGCCAATTAAAAGCTATGGGAGTAGGTGAATAACAAACGAAAGTTGGATTCCACTATGGTTTTTGTTTATGTATATATATATATGAGATTTTGTGCAAAAATAAATTCTTGTAAACATGGCACTTACCTCTGCTAAGTCTTCAAAGCAGCTACCAACTAATGGATGGGGACTGCCTTCATCGGTCATTTCTACAGTGTCTTCTATATGGCCCAATAATTTCACACTGAGTTCATGAACATCTGCTATACGACTAAATATATTTTCTACATCCTGTAAAGATGAAACATCTATTAACAATAAAAAAACCACCTTGAGATGTTAAATACCTGAGTACAATAAGTAATTGCAAACATGAGCCAACAGTTCCTTCAATAATAGCAAAAATCAGGTAAGATGTAAAAATTGGCATAGTTTCAAACTACAGATAAAAAAAACAATGAAAAGAAAAGGGATGCATACATATGCAATTTTGGCTTATATTGTGAGACATATCTCCCTATGTGGCTAATATAAAGCTTTAAGTTTAGGAATCACAGTAGATTTTCTGATTCAGTTAAAAAAGTTAACTGAGATATTTAATGATAATAATAATAATGATAATAGCTGGAATTCATATACAGCTTTATTGTTTGCAAAGAACTTTATATATATTATCTCATCATGTTACCTTACTTCACAATAGAACTAGGTGATATTATTCTCTCCCTTTTACTGATGAGGAAACTGAGGCAAAGAAGTTCAGTATCTTGATCAGGGTCACACATACATAATAAATATATAAGGCAAGATTCAATCTTAGGTCTTCCAGATTCACAGTGCTTTCCTACCTCGGGAAAGTACTATTTATCTGAGGAAGTGTTGTGAAAGGATGTGGAAAAGAACCACAAAGAATAAAAAGGAATGAAAGGAATACTCACATTGATGAGAACAAATATCCATTTAAGCATGGAAGTAGTATTTAATTTGTCCTATGTGAACATATTTCAGAGCCTAGAGATTCCTGGATCTAGAAGGACAACATTCTCAAGCATGCCTGCCCTGGTGCAAGGGACTTTAAGTACTTAGTACTGTGACAGGTACCTCATGACCACAGCCTCTATGAAAACTTATTAAATGAATAAAATCTGAATTCTGAATGATGATAATGCTAAATTCCTAATCATACTAGAAGCGCATCATAAATGTCTATCTTCTGAGGTCTATCCTCTCCTGATATGCTCTCTTGGTAATCTCAATTGCTTTAATTACTGTCTCAATATAAATGACTATGAAATCTATACCTAAATATTCTCCTGAGCTCCAGCCCCAAATTGCCAATGCTGTATGGGCATTTCCACTTAAACATTCCATGAACATCTCAAACTAAACACATCCAGAAGAGAACTCATCACCTAGACCTTATCCTTTTGTCAGTTTTCTTAATCATCCTGATTTGAAACAATGGAGTCATTTTGGATGCTTCTCTTTCCTTCACTCCTTATGTTCAGTCATTTGTCAAATCTTGCCAATTTTATAACACTTCTCTAACTGTCCACTTCTCTCTACCCACAGAGCCCAGTCCAGGCTCTTACCTCTTATATAGACTACTATGACAACATCCTGACTCCAGTATTACTACTTACCAAATTATACTCTGTACAACTACCAAATAAACTTGCAAAGACATGGGTCTATGCCATTCCCCTGCTCAAAATCCTTCCGGGGATCCCTGCTATTTCTAGGATAAAGTAAAAATTCCCTAGCCTAGCACCCAGGGCTTTCTACATTCTGGCCCCAGCTTGCTTTTCCAAGCTGGTTTTACATCTCTCCAATGTTCCCCTGAAAATGGACTACTCTTGAGTCCCTAAACTTGTCACCCTGCCTCCAGTAGCTGTGCCTGGAATACACTTTTTCTTCCTCACCTCAACCTCACAGAATCTTCATCTTCCTTCAAGGGTTAACTTAAGTATTACCTCCAAGATGCATTCTCAATCCCCTGGGTTAGGGAATTCTCCTTCCTCAAGTTTCTTTTATACTGATCCATACACGTTTATCACCTGGAGTAGAAAATGTAAGCTCCTTGACAACAGGGGATACAATGTCCTCCCTCCCCCACTTTGTATTCCTGGTGTCTAATACTGAGCCTCACATACAACTGGCACTCAATAAATGTTAGTTGAATTGAATTGAAGAGAGAATCTTGAATGTCAAGATCATCCAGGGTTTCTATTTTATGTGATGGGCAACAAAGAGATGGGACTTTTAAGTGAAAGAGATGCTGTATCAGAGAGATGACTTAAGAAGATCCTTGGGTTGTAGGGTGAGTATGAAAGGTGTGACTGTGGTCATCACAGTCAATAAACAAGCATTTATTAAGTGTCTAACATGTGGTGCTGGACTCTAAGGATAAAAATACAAAGAATGGAATAATGCCTGCTCTCAGAAAGTTTTCAGCATGAGGGAAACACCCAATACGATAAAAAGAGAATAAATACAACTGAAGAGAGTAGTTTAGGAGGAAAAGTACTAGGTGGCACAGAGAAGAGCATGGAATTTGGAGGCTGGAAGACCTGATTTCAAATCCTACCTCAGACTCTTACTGTGTAACACTGCGCTAGTCACTTAAATCTTTGACTGCCTCAGTTTCCTTGTCTGTGAATAACAGCATCATTCTCACAGGGTTGCTGAGGGGATCAGATGAGTTAATATATGCTAATAATTTTGCAAATCTTAAAGTGCTATATGAATGCTAGCTATTATTATTATCATTATTATTGTTACTACTGCTCCTACTACTAGCAATGGTGGAACATAAAGACAGGCTTCATGAGAACATGGTACTTGAGCTACATCTTAAAGGAATAGAAAGGTTCCATGAGGTGGCTGAGGAAGATGGGACCTCCATGGAAAGGCATGGAAAGAGGACATGAAGGGTGTGAGAAACAAAGAGATGGCCAAGGGAGGGAGAGAGATTGATGGATAATGAAGTCTGGGAAAAAAGGTTGGCTTCCAGTGATAAAGGGCTTTAAAAGATGAATGGGGGACTTGGATCCTATGCCAGAGGCAAAAAGAGTCCCTGAGTTCATTGAATAGGGAAGTAACATGGTCAGATCTGTGCTTAAGTGAAATAGTTTTGAGAGCATCATCACGGTGTAGGTAAGAAGGGATAAGGGGATGAAACAGGGTTATTAGTAGATTAGAAAGAAGGGGCCAGAGGTGACTGGCATAACAGAGGCATAACCAATAGCACTTGACAATTGATTTGAGGGGAAGTGGGTTTTGGTATTTTGGCTTTTGGCTGCTCCTGTGGTGAGAAACTCCCAGAGAAGAAACACTCTCTACCAATGCTGATGGACATCCTTTGAGAGGGTAAATGACCTGCCTGGGGTCACAGAGCCCAGTATGTTTCAGACTCAGACCTCTAGTCAGGTCTTCTTGACTTGAAAACTGTCTCTTCATCAATAAACTTTTATGCCTCTTCATAGGAGGACGAGGTATAGAGAAGCAGTCAAATATGACTGATATTATGAGCATGGGTAAAGAGGATGAGATAAATAGGAATCATCAAAAGAAAGAGAAGTTATTGGAAAGGGTGGATTTTAGGTGAAAGATAAGTTCATTTTTGGATATCCTGATTTTGATTTGTTTCAGTTCTGTGTATCAGTAGGAGAGAAATCACATCTCCAAATTTATTATGATGACCACAGTCACACCTTTCATACTCACCCTACAACCCAAGGATCTTCTTAAGTCATCTCTCTGATACAGCATCTCTTTCACTTAAAAGTCCCATCTCTTTGTTGCCCATCAAATAAAATAGAAACCCTGGATGATCTTGACATTCAAGATTCTCTCTTCAATTCAATTCAACTAACATTTATTGAGTGCCAGTTGTATGTGAGGCTCAGTATTAGACACCAGGAATACAAAATAGGGGAGCGAGGACTTGTATCCCCTGCAGTCAAGGAGCTTACATTTTCTACTCCAGGTGATAAACATGTATGGATCAATATAAAGGAAACTTGAGGAAGGATAATTCCCTAACCCAGGGGATTGAAAATGCATCTTGGAGGTAATACTTAGGTTAATCCCACCAAGAAAGAAATACAGAAAGCAGTTGGAATTTCAGGATTAGATTTCCAAGACATAGGACCTGGGGGTGGGGAGAAAAGGGATGGAGACATCTTAGAGTCATCAGTGCAGAGTTTATTGGAAAGGGATGAAATCACCAAAGAAAAAGACAACAGAGAAAAAAGGGCCAAAGGCAGAACTTTAGGGATCACTCCTGCTTAAGGGGAAGAAAGGAGACAAGGAGCCAATAAGGGTAACAGAGAAAGTAAGACAGAATCATAACATAAAATCCAAAGTAGGAGAGGATAAAAAGCTCACAGCATCAAAACCTCTAGGAAAACAGAAGTTAGGATTAGTTGTTGAAAGTCAGTCTCATATTAAAAAAATACTATTTCTGAATATTCTAAATCCAAATTTAAAAGGCTTATATGAATATAAACCCCATATTATGGTGATTGTATTATGCTCTATTTGTAATAATACTTACGTGAGAAGAAAATAATTTTGAATTGGAGACAAATGGTTCTCTAAAAACTTTAATAATGAGATTAAGTTCCCTTATATATTGTCGAACTTCAGCCATAAATGCCTTTACCAGGTCATAGTATGTTTGTTCCCCTGAAGTGGAAGGTTCTTCATCAGTTAAAGATAATATATTGATATCTTCTACATCTTGATGGAACATATCCATCAATACCTACAATAAACAAAATTATAGAAAAGAAAATGAGTAATTGGGTCACATTCAAGTTTGAAGTTAAAATTAATAAGATTTACAGCAATCTGAACAGATTTTAAAAGATGACAAGGTATCATGTTAAAGTGGAAAGATGAAACCAGAGTTGGGAAAGCTGAGTTCAGGTCCTGAATCTTTCACTTAACTAGCTATGTGACTGTTTAATCTCTATGACTCTCAGTTTCTCCACTGGTGAAATAGGTAATACTTTCGTTGTTCAGTTGTTTTCAGTAGTGTCTGACTCTTTGTGACCCCATTTGGGGTTGTCTTGGCAAGATATGGGAGTAGTTTGCCATTTCCTTCTCCAGCTTATTTTCCAGATGAGGAAACTGAGGCAAACAGGGTTAAGTGACTTGCCCAAGGTCACACAGCTAATAAATATCTGAGGCCATATTTGAACTCAGGAAGATGAGTCTTCCTGACTCCAGGACCGGCAATCTGTCCATTGTGCCACCTAGCTGTAGGAGTGTTGCAAGGAAGGGATTTTATAAAAGGTAAAATGTAATAAACAAGATTTTTATTATAATTAAAATGAATGTCAAAAGTATTGTGATTTTAAAGTACCCTCTAAATTTTTCTGCTCAATTACATTTTAAAGAACTTTACTGAAAAGAGAATGAGTCATTTATAATAATAATATTAATATCATCATCATGATAACGATACATCAGTCAGTCAAGAAGTATTTATTAAGTGCATATTATGTGCTAAACATTGTACTAATCACTGAGGATACAAAAAATGGGACAAAAATAAGGCCCCTGCCCTCAAAGAGCTCACATTCTAAATGGGCAGACAATCTGCAACGATTTTGCATACAAAATATAGACAACACAAATTCTCAAAGGGAAGATACTAACAGTGGGGGAGAGAATGAGGAGCTCAGGAAGGTCTCCAGCAGAAGGCAGATTTGATCTAAGTAAGATTAACCCCAAATACAGCTTCACAAAAGAGATAATATAAAATAAAAATCTAAACACGTATTAGATACATTTAGATACCATATAGTTCTATCTGAATATTTTGTTAGTAACTAATCTTTTAAGAATTAAAGATTATTAGTAAAAATAAAACACAGATGTTACCTACCTTATCAGCACACATTGCTACTTTAATGTCCTGTTTTGTAATTTCATAATGTCGTATATTCCGTACATAATTTCCAACCAGCTTTAAAATATCTGCAGAAATGTATTCTAATACTGCTACTATGTAAACAGAAACCTGGTGGTCAATTTTATACCCTAAAACTTCCTGTGAAATAAAAAGAGAAATATTTATACGGAGTAAAATTAATACAAGGTAGAAGAGAAAGTAATGTAACACCTTCTTTGAAGCAACCCCTATGCACTATAACTTTAACTGAAACCTGTTTGAATACAACATTCAATTTTTTTAAAAACAAAATTTAACTTTAAGCTGTTCACCAGGAACATGTTAGCAAAATTTGGAATAGAGAAAGAGCATCTCTAATAATCGGATAAGACATTTTAAATAGAGAAAATTATGACCAGGCTAGTTCCCAATTTAGAAACTTACCTAGTGAGAGACTGCATGTGCAAAAAATAGCAGAGAAGTACCCATAAGAGCAACTGCCCCTGTGCTCCTCAAATCAAAACATTCCACAAGTAACTGATCTGAAGATGTGATTTCCCTCCTACTGATACACAGAATTTGCAAATCATGGATGTCCAGTATTAAATGCCACACCCCCCACTCCACACCTGGACTACATAATTGCTAAGGTAGAGAAAATTGTTCCACTCAAGCTTGGGTCTAGAAAGTATTTTTTCCATTGAAATTATGTTATAAATGGTGGTTAAATATAACTCTAATAGTACCAATAGTACTGTACTTCAGATACACTGTAGGGTATGTATTCTTTGGTGGGCTGGACTGGGATCTCAACTACCATTTATTATGTAATATGTGTGTGTGTTTATTCTTTTAGGGCTGACTTGCATTAATGTTTATTTTAGTTAGTCAGTCAATAAGAATTAAGTGCCTACTAAGTGCCAGGCAATGTGCTAAGTGCTGGGGATACAAAGAAAGATAAAAGACAACCCCTATTCTCAAGGAGCTCACAATCTAACGAGGGAGACGACATGCAATCAGACACGTACAAACAAGCTATATACAGGATACTTGGGAAATAATTAGCAGTATCACTTCATTGAAGAGTGTGATGGAAGTATAAGGTATAAGAAGACTGGAAGGCAGTAGGAGGATAGGTGATGAAGGGTTTAGAATATCAAACAAGATTTGGTATTTGATCCTGGAGGTGAGAGGGAGTCATTGGAATTTACTGAGTAGAGGTGTAGGTCAGACCTGCGTTTTAGAAAATCACTTGAATGAAGTGGTGAGAGACTTGAGGTAGGCACACCAACCAGCATAGGTGGCAAGAACCTACACTAGGATACTGGAAGGGTCAGAAGAGAAAAGGGGGCATTTTCAAGAGATGCTATAAAGATGAAATTGATGGGCCTTGGCAACAGGTTGGTAAGAGATAGTGAAGAATCCAGGATGACACCTAGGCTGTGAGTCTGAGGGACTGAGAAGATGGTGGTGCCAGACAGTATATACCATATGTTCCCAATCTTCCTAAAGACCTATTAAATATTCTACACATTGCTAATTTAGGAATTTTTCACAGTTTACTAGGGGTGGGGAACCTGTGGCCTCAAGGCCACATGTAGTCTTCTAGGTCCTTGGGTGTGGCCTTTTGACTTAGTCCAAGTTTTACAGAACAAATCCTTTTATTAAAGGGATTTGTTCTGTGACATTTGGATTTGGTCAAAGGGCCACACTTGAGGAACTAGAGAGCCAAATGTGGCCTCGAGGCTGCAGGTTCTCCCCCTCTGGTTTATATCTATTTCATCAGAGAGGTTCAGTAAGGAGCAAATAGAAGTTTCTATACTATTTGTCTGAGTTCTTAACCTTTTCTGTGCCATGGATCTCTTTGGCAGTTTGGTGGTCTGTGTTTTTTTTAGCCTGTTTCTCAAAAATTCGTAATTGAAGTAAACATTAAATTTCAATTAAAGTTAATGAAAATAAAGATGTAATTTCCCCCTCACATCCAAGTTCAGAGACCCCTGGAAATCTATCCATGAATCCCCAAGTAAGAACCCTTGGCTTAGTACCTTCTTTACAGATACATAGCTCCCCTATAGCAATGGTTCTCAGGTGTGATCTTGACTGTTATCTAGTTAGTTAGACTGGTCTCTTGAAGTAATAATGCTTATAACTTTTTAAAAGTTTATAAATTTTGTTTGGAGGAAATACTTAGCAATTTATTCATATTAAAACCCAAAAGTCATCCTTTTGATGTCTTATCAAAAAGCAGTACAATTTTTCCTAATAATTTTAGTGAAATATTTCCTGCTTATAAGGAAGAGTAGATGGGAGTAGGTGGACCATAGGAACTTGTGTCTGAAAAAACTTATATACTTTGAAAACAATCTCAAAGAATAGGTTTTTATCCAAGATTTAATAAGTCTATGATACACTTTTAGTATTTGGGCAAAGCTTTATGGCCTCCCCCACTTTGAGAAGACTATGTTGGTGACTTGAGATATGAGAAGTCCATACAGACAGTTATACTTAGGGCTTTCAATCTGTTTCATTATTAGTGTTGTTATTGAAGTACTAAAAGCAATGATGGCCAATTAACACATTCCTCTGTATCTCAGGAAACTGTAAAAGAGGAATTTGATTCATCAAGTTACTATAACATGCAGTAAAATATCTTTAATTGCCATAGTGGTAATGTTTCTTTGTTTGAGAAATAAAGGAAGAATCCAACTTTACCTTTAATAAAGGGTGAATTTTTTCTACGGGGAGAGATAATGGATTTCTTCGCTTCCTCTTTTCATTAGCAGATTGAGCATCAGCTATTGCCCACTTATCAATTGGATGAGGAAAACTTTTTTGTACACGATCCTTGGAGAAATGAAAATAGGAATTAAATATCAAGTGCAGGCAATTTACTTGAGAGTGCTAGAAATAATGGAATAATACATGAATAAAGGTCTACTATACACAGTTTTCTCAGTTTTGATTTTCAGATTTGAAAGCACACATCAAATATTTAAACTCATCAAAAAAAACCAAACAAACAACCTTCAATAGCCTGTCAGAGAAAATGAGAATTTTAAGTGTCAATGTATTTGCTTAATTATGTAATCAAAAGATACAATGCTCATTACATAAAAAAGACAGAAAAACTTCATTTGTACTACCACTGTGATCAAGGTACACACTGAATAGAATGTTAATATGATGAAACTGAACACTAAATATTTTACAACAGACATTCCATTTAAAAATCGAAGCAACTAATTACTGGTCAAAGAGTTAAAATATTTTACTAGGTAGGCTATGATGTAAATTTATTTCTACACATTCAGCCCAAAGGTATCAGAGTATTTCAGTAATTTGAACAATTTTCTGCAGAGAACAATTAGAACCACTAGAGGTCACTACTATATAACAATGTCATAAAATTGTTAAGTATTCCTTTTAGGACATAACTAGTAGTCAAATATTACTCCTGATTATTAATCTAAGTAACAATTCCTTTTCTGACTTACCAAAATCTTAACATGTACATGATATTGTACAGAAAAGAAAAGGGAAAACAGATCATAACTTAAATGATTCAGTTCCACCAAAATGTTTTTAAACCCAAACCATATTTATTTTAATCCACAGTTAATGTTAAGTCTGTTGAAACTGATGAGAATTGTTGAATCTAAGAAGAAAGGTATCTTAGTATTATTTAAGGAAAATAAAAGAAATTAGAATGCAGGGACAAAGCACTAAAATATAACAACTTGAAAATGTCCGTTTCTGGTTTAGGTATTAGGACTATACTGATCTCTTAAAAGGAATTTTGAGAATAACTTTTATTGTCCCTTAAAAATTTGATAGATAAAAATTTCCTGTGAATCCATCAGGATCAGGAGGGTTTTTTTCTTTAGTAGTTCCTTTACAGCTTGTTTAATTTCCCTCTGACATTATCTCCAGTTTATCCTTATGTATATTTTGTTTGCCCATTATCTCCTCCATTAGACTATGAGCTCCTTGAGAGCAGGGACTTGTTTTGTTTTTGTTTTTGCCTTTCTTTATAGCCCCAGTGCTTAGCACAGTGCCTGGAACACTTGTCGTTCAGTTGCTCAGACTCTTCGTGACCCCATTTGAGGTTTTCTTGGCATAGATACTGGAGCGGTTTGCCATTTCCTTCTATAGCTCATTTCACAGATGAGGAAACTGAGGCAAGCAAGGTTAAGTGACTTGCCCAGACAGCTAGTATGTGTCTGAGGCCAGATCTGAACTCAGAAAGGTGAGTCTTCCTCACTTGAGGCCCAGCACTCTATCTATGGCATCATCTAGCTACTGTGCTTGATGATGACATCCTTTGACTCAGCAATACTGACACTGACTGTATACCCCCAAATGGATCCGAAAAAGAAGAAAAATAACTATATGTACAAAAAATATTTATAGGAGCTCTTTTTGTTGTAGTAAGATCTGGAAATTAAGGGGGTACCTATCAACTGGGCAATGGCTAAAGAAGTTATGGTATATGATTATAACAGGATATTATTGTTCTATAAGAAATGATTAAAAGAATGGTTTTGGAGACCTCTGGAAAACTCTTATGAAGAAATTCAGAGTAAAGTAAATAGCATTAATAAAGCAACACATGCAACGACATGTTAAAGAAAAACATGAATGCTAATCAGTGGGGTGACCAGCCATGACTCCAGGGGACTGATGATGATGAAGCATGCCACCCAGCTCTTGAGAGAGGAGGTGTTTTTGGACATGACTATATTTATTTGTTACAAAGAATGCAACTTTTCTTTTTTCATTTGTGAAAGGGGAGTGATTAGGGGCAGAAGGGAACTAGTAATAGTATTGAGAAAAAAAGAAACAAAAGAGAGTCATTGAAGCATTATTAAAAATGCACTCAAGGGAATAGAAGGACACTCACAGAGAAATATAGTCAAGTAAGACAGCTTTAGAAGTGGAATGTTAATTTGTTAAAAAGCTGTACATAGAAATTCCTAGTTTCATATATAATCTTTTTCTCTACTTCTCTTTCTATTCTCTTTTCTCTACTTCAACCCCCTACCTGTTTCCCTTTCCTTACCCCTTCCTACCTCTCCCTCTTTCCTTCTCTCTTCCTTCCCCTCAACCCCAAAAGTTTGTGTGGTTATTTGGGCACAGGAAAAATAGTGGAATTAAAATCTAAAAGTGGAAAAAATCTGACAGGCAACCAAGTCCAATTCCCTCATTTTTCACATTAGAAAACTGGGATTATGGGTATTAAATGGGGTATCCAAAGTGAGATAGGTAAGTAAGCACCAGAGGCAGGATTTGAATCTAAGTTCTTTGACTCCAGAAACAGTGCTCTGGGAGAAGCTATGTAACCATGGTATATTCTATATCAGGTCTGGAAAAAGAAATTAGAGGAAGCATAGTGGCTGGTATTCAAATAATAGGCACTTAACAGGTGCTTGTTGAATTTGAGTCGAAGGAATGGTGGTATGGGGGTACTGTACCAGAATGACTTTAGGCAGGTACTTAGGTGAATCCCCAGAAGAGTCAGATGGAAAAGTCATGAAAGCAGAAATCAGTTCAGATAGAAACAAAAGATACAATTATAAATGGAGATCTGATAGGCTAATAAAGGAGGAATTAGAGACAAAATATAACTTCATTTTATAATATGAAAAAGGAGGATCAAAGAAAATTTTATATATGCTCCATGTCTACACATTAAAAAAGGAACAGTCAAGATGTTACAGCAAGGTGGAGTTTTTTTTTTTACTCTTTTATGTGTTTTAAATTCATTTTAATAAAAATGATTAACAAAAAATTCTACTTACAGAGATTTACCAAATCATATTATGAAATGGTTAAAAGCACATAATTAAAAAAAAAAACAGGATAAATTAAAAAGCTGAAGGGCCCAGATAATGTGCAGCTGAGTTACAAGATACAATACTAGACATTAAATAAAATAGAAGAACACCAAATCAATTAAACATTTTCTGTTGACAATAAGTAAAATACTGTTAATTTGGTCTTCATTAATTTGGAACCTGTGATACTCATACAGGAGGAGTAGGATTGTTCTTTGTTTATCCAGTCTTTTCTCCCTAGCTCAAATAATGTACATAAGATTAGAAGAAGGTTTACAATTCTTAAACTGTTTTTAAGCACTTAGATTTAATTCAAGTCAATCACGAACAATTTCTTAATTGTGCTGGGTCTGGTCCTTGCAGGAAGCACCAATGTACATGGGAGACCAAGTGGCGCAAGAGAAAGAGTGCTGCACTTGCTGTCAGAGGACCTGAGCCTCAGTATTGTCTCAGGCTCTGTGTGACCTTGGACAAGCCACTTGACTTCTCCATAGTTTATACCTATTCATAAAAATTAGGCAGTTAAATCTGGAAGGACCTTCCCAACTCTAAATCTATGAACCTATGATATATAACTATATGCTAATCAGAAAGCATTCTTATTTACTTATCAACACAGAACCACTATTCAGCAATATTTTGTTAACTTAAGCGATTTTGTTTATATTAGTAAAAGTGCTTTTTAAAAAATTAAAATCAGACCTAATGATTTATATTAGCTTTTCTCTAAATTTCTTTGAATTAGGTCAAATTTTTCCTGCATAATATTATTTTTCACTTGTAGCTTTCTTAAATCTATAGAATCCAATCTAATAAACATTTTTAAGCACCTCCTATGTGCCAGAAACTGTATTAAGTGCTAAGGATGCAGTTAATAAAAAGAAAGGCAGTTTCTGTCCCCAAGGAACTTACAATCTAATTGGGGGGGGCATTAGACAACACACAAAAAGGAGGAAAGGTTGGGGGGAACACCAAGGGTTACCCACAGTGTGGGCACCCTGATCTGTGGAGCTGAAGCCAGGCAAAGCAGCAGATGCAGAAGTGGGGTGAGTTGAGAGTCCAGTTTCTGCCCTCTATAAAGGAAAGTATTGGGAAAACTTTGGTACTCTATCCTCCAGCCCTCTGATTCAAGGGGAGAGGAGGCTGAGGGAGGTGGAATCACTCAAGACTTGAGTCAGCAGCATGGTGGTGAGTTTAGAAATGATGAGCTCATCCTAAGAGAGGGACCTTGTTGCATGGAATTGAAGGCAGGCAGAGTAGCAGGTGCAAAGTGAAGTGAGAATGTTGATTTGATGATTCCTCTTTCACCCCAAAATACATATGAAGTATTTGCTATGCTCACAAAACACAATAATAATTTGCGTTTTCTAGTTTAGTTTTCCAGTCCAGTTTTCTTTTTAGAAAAGAACTATGATTATTTGCCAATGGAAATGACAAAACTCAAAAGAACTACAAACCATTGACAACTGTATGAAAGACTGCTCCTAATCATTATTAAGAGAAATGTAAATCAAAATTTGAGGTTTCATCTCACACTTAGCAAATTGGCAAGATAACCAAGGACAGAATAGTCAATGTTGGATAGGATGATTTGGAAAGACAATCAATCACCAAGCATTTACTAAGTACCTAGTATTTTTGAGGAGGCAGCTAGGTAGTTCAGTGGATAGAGTGCCAGGCCTGGAGTCAGGAAGACTCCTCTTCCTGAGTTCAAATCCAACCTCAAACATTTCCTTGCTGTGTGATCCTATGCAGGTCACTTCACCCTGTTTGCCTCAGTTTCCTTATCTGTAAAATGAGCTGGAGAAGGAAATGACAAGCCACTCCAGCATCTTTGCCAAGAAAACCCCAAATGAAATCCCAAAGAGTCAGATGTGACTGAAATGACTCAACACATTTTGGAGGAACTGTTCTGGGCATTAGGGATACAAAGACAAAGAAAGCAACATTCCCTACTTCTGAGGGGTTTATAGTCTTATTGGCAAGGTAATAAATAAACAAACAAATAAA